AACTTCTAAACTGACACAGTGCTTGAGAACTAAAGCTGGCTCCAGCGAGAAGGCGAACTGGGAACTTAGCCTGTAGCACCAACTTCAGGTTTTTGTTTGAGTTGATTTTTCCCAAACTCAGCCATTTCAGCCCAATCATCTGTGTACATGCCTGCACACACGTGTGTGTGCGTGCATGCGTGATGCAGCACACATTTTGCAATACTTTTGAAAGGTAATTTTTGCAGACACTACACGAAGCAAATACTCAGATCGTAGTCAATGAGTATATACCATGCACCTTGGGTTTTTATTTTTTTGTTTTGTTTTTTTTATTTTTAAGCAGTGCACAGTAAGTAGTGGTGTCAATTGCTGCAGTTATCCGTAGCAGAGAAGGTGACGCAGATTTAATGGGAAGATTTACAATGAAGACGAGAATAAAAATGTTCACGTTAAAAAGTAGTTTACACAATAACGTTGATCAGAGCCAGGGCCACGTGACAAATGTCTTCTAGAAGATGTGTTTCAAGCACTGGGCTGCTAACATTTATTGATCCAACACCTTTCCGGTTTCTTAGCTTTTACTTTGGTGACTCGATTTTAGAGTTTAAGAGAATGCAAATTACTTTAATAATGTCCCCTGGGCCTTCAAAATCTATGCGGGTGAGGTAATCCAGATATTCAGACATCGGTCTGGCTGGATTAGCCAAGGGGTGAGAGTTGGATAGAGGGTGGACTGCCTTACAATAATTGGTGCTATTCAAAAATGTTATGGTGCCCAGGGGAAGTTTTAACCCTGCCATGCCACTTCCCATTTTTGAAAATGGTTCTGTGTTGATTATTTATCTGGATTTAGATGATTACTAGTACTGGTTCAGTAAATACATGATCTACTGAAAATTAGACGCATCACAATCATTTCTGGGAAGACATTGAACAAATGAGTTCGGATGCCAACACCTTATTTTTCTCCCTTCTTCCCAACCACCCAACCATAGAAAACAAAAATCCACCGCATAACTCTGATTTGGTGCTTCCGAAAATTGTACCAGAAATGTTTTTAAAGTATCTCGATAGATATACCACCACACACTCAGATTATTAAAAAAAAAAAAAATAATAAGCTCGTTCCATCATTATGTGCTAGATATGGAAATACTTATCCTAATGATACTGGTACTCTAAGTGTTGGATATCAATTTATAGTTTTGATTTTAGTACTTTCAGCAAATTTTTTTTTAATTGTCGAGTCAAGTCTGACTCACGCTGACCCTACAGGACAGAGAACTGCCCCAGAGGGTTTCCAAGCTATAAATCTTCATGGAAACAGATTGGCTCTTTAACCAAGGCACCTAGCACTCCTCACAGAACTCCCAAAGGTGCAAGATTTAAAATGTTACCTTTCCAGAGTTCGGTAATACTCATATTTAAATCCCTATTTTTCTCTCCCAGATTATCAACATTCTTTAGAGGTCTGATGGGACTTTTTTTTTTAAGAGTGAGATTTGTAGCAGTTCATTTATTTCTAGATATCTTTAAAAGTTCTGTTTAAAGTATAGTCCTTCTCTGCCAGCAGCGTAATTACTTTGATACAACACTTCAGAAAACTAAAAAGAAAAAAATACATGTAAAAAGGAGGTATTGAAATGACTGAAAATGGAAAACATTTCAAAGCAAAATTGTTAATGAGCTGTTTGAGCTATATGGGCATTATGTGTGCAATTAACTAGAAGCCAATAAAAATAATCAATGACAGAGGGCAGCCCTCTGGTACCAAGTGCTTTTACAAAGAGCTGTCTGTGAAACAGCAGCAAGGGATGAAGAAACCCTACCTTTATCTCTGGGGAGCACGTGCTATTTCAGAGGAGTAGAAGGGAAAATGATTTGCATCGACTCTTTCTGAAGTTCAGCCTGCTGTAAACACTGAAGAGCGGGCACGAAGTTTACGCTCCTAGCTGCGCCCCCACCCCCCACCCCACCCCAGCTCCTTCCTCGCAGGAATGTTGGAGGCAGCCGCAATTTCATCAAAGGAAGGTAGGAGTTTAGATTTCAAAATGTAGACGTCCCATCTCAGTGCAAACTACTCCTCCATCAACACTTTATCAGCGTGTCCAGATGCATTTTTTATCTTCTTCGGGGCTGGGGGTGGGGATGGGTGGATGGGTGAGGTGGGGGTTGGGGGGTGGAGGGAAGTGCCTGGCTAAGATTGCCCTCCATCGATGGGCAGTAAAAGCTTGTTAGTGTTTTGGCTGTGCTTCTGTGCATCCTCCTCAAGGTCCCGATCGTCCCCCCAAGAGAGTTCAGGAGTTGTGAAAAGTAACACACCACGGGCCACCGGGATAATTCGTTCCCTCCACCTTCTCGTTAGCACCGCCCACTTCTCCCTTTTTTTATAGCAGTCCTTGCTCTCGGCAAATCTCAGGTTACTTGGCTGGGAGGGAGTGCTCAGACCTCCAGTTCCTGTCCTGCCCTCAGCCTCCAATCCTTAAGAGACATCCAGCCCCAGCAATTGGATTGGGCAGCCCGTCTTGACACACCACTGTGCTGAGTGCTTGAGGACGTGTTTCAACAGATGGTTGGGGTTAGTGTGTGTCATCACGTTCGAGTGGGGATTAGGCGCAGGAAGGCTGCCGCGCCTGAGCTGTGTGGTCTTCTCCAGGGGAGAGTTGCAGGCAGTAGAACTCCTTCGCCGGGGGAAGAAGAGAGAGAATTCATCTGCTGCAGCCTCCGGAGAAGCAGTTTTTCCAGGTAAAGTACCAGATACCGAATGCTTTTCTCTCCCCCTCTCTAGCTTGATCGCGTACTTTTGAGTGGAATGCTTGCTAGCCCAGCCCACTTGTCAAAGCCGCTGGGTCGCTGTGCCATCAATGCGACCATTGTACGGCTGACAGATAACAAGCAACCTAGCTGGATGCTCGGCTGTCTGTTGAGAACTAACACCGCTTGCTCATGCCTTGCTTTGGAAGGTGTAGCTAAAAAGATGCCTTTGGGAGTGTTGCTTGTGCCCTTTTAATATCCCCATGACCTACGCAGGACCGGGAGTTCGATTTGCCCATAATGAATGCATCCGGCCAAGAAGGCATTTATTTGAGCTTTCAAAATCAGAATTCACTTTCAAACTGTTCCATTTCACTCCCCAATCTATAAAGATTCTCTTAAGAGTCTATTACTCCGTCGCCAGAAGAGATGGGCATACTGCTTTAACTGATGTTTGCAGCGTCGATTATGACTGATTTGTGGTGGAGCAGAGGGCTTTTAACATTTGGAGGGGAGCGGGCGGGTCGGGAGGAGGGAGATGGATTGTGAAGTTTGGAAACTGCTCTCGGGACTGGGTTATCCTGAACACACTGAGGAAAGGGCTCGGCATTAAAACAAAAATGCTTCGAGCCTGGAGGAAAGCAGAAAGGAGGAAGTTGGGAAATGCTCTTTAACATATCCCTCTTGCAGCTGTAGGGGGAGCAGATGGAGGTAATTCATTTGCAGATTTGTTTGTGAAAGTTTTACAAGTCATTGAAAACTAAAGTAGTATCCCTGTAATGGATCGTTAAAGTCACTACATTTATAGGTTTTAAACAGGCGATCTGAAGTGTTAACTAAATGTAAATAGATTTTTTTTCAGCCCGGATTATAAACAGCCCCCCACCCCAACAGCATTTAATTATAAATCAGTCATTGGAAATTGATGGTCATCTGGTGCCTTAGCAGTATGAAATGAATTGTCATCAGATACATGCGCAGATCCATTGACTAAGCACTTTGCCGAAAGCCCCACGGTAGAACATTGAATTGAACTGGTTGAAACATTGAAGATTAGCTGTTCTTTTGATGTGTGCGTTAAAACCGGCGGTTCAAAACCTCATGCTGTATTTTTGTGTAGACCATAACAGTAAGTGTTTTCTTTTTCAAATTTTCCCACAAGCAAGGTGAGTCACAGAGATACTTCTTTTGATACTGCAGCAGACTTGTGATCCTAGAGCAGTGCTTAGTCCTGACTGCACTTGCACGTTTGGTAGAGAAACCCAACGCTGTCCTCGCCCTTTGCAGGGGCGAGAGGGTCTGAATAATCCTCTCGAGAAGTTCCTCTGAAATGAGATCTGCGAAGAGGTTGAACACCAGGATTTCTGGCTATTGCTTGGTGATGCTTAGTTTTCGTCATCGCAAAGATGCCAATGAAATTATGTTTCTAGTTCCGTTACCTAGTTTTTGGAAGTCGGTTGATATTTTTTAAGCCTCTTTTTCAAAAGTTAAGATGAAAACAATTTTGTAGTATGGTGTTAGTTGCTAGTCAGAATGTTATCAGCATATCATTTCAAAAACCTTTTTCAGTCAGAAAACACCCTCAGGAGCAATGCCCAGCAATTTTTCCAAGTGAGTATTATCTGATTCTCAATATTACATAACCAAAATAGCACTAGGTTCATAAGCTTTGGGGATTCCAGTCATTCCATCTTGGCTTTTCAGTGGCATTGGAGTTTCAATAAATAAAGGCAGAAAGACAAACCAGTATCTGACGCTGTATCAGGACTGGAACGGCATGTACAGCCTGGAGCAGGGATGGTGCTTCACGGCCATTTTTCACAATCACCGAATATTTGAGGAGAAAGAAAAGTTTATTCTCACAAATCCAAGTGTGTCCCCCAATGGCATTCTAACAAAGACAAGGTGCTGTTTAGTGATACATGCTAACCGCATCGTTAGATTCCCAGGCTGCCTACCCAGGAAGGACTGGCTAATATGCGCGCGCGCACACACACACACACACACACACACACACACACACACAAGAAATGCTGAGAAATACGGTGAAAAGGCAAAGTTTGTGTTGGTTTTCTGCTCCTAGTCAACCTTAATTTAAAGTTACTGAGTGACCCAGAAAGGCCTGTTAAAAGACAGTGCCCACAGGGCAATCCCCGACTCTTGTCAAAATCTAAATCTACTGCTCCAGATGGCAAACATCCAGAGGCATATTTATGGTGACTTCTGCATACCTCGTTTGACATTTGGATTCTTCCTGACCACACTTGTGCTGGTGTGCCGCTCACACACATGAAGTTCCCATCAGTATCCTAACAGCTGGGAAAGTGTTTGAGCGCCCAGGCTGTCCCGCCTAGTCAAGTTAAAAATCATTGTGGGTAGTGAAGCGGTAGAAGATCTCAGCTAGCCATGTTGATGCATATTCCCCAGCGCAAACACACACACACACACACCTAGGCATGCATTAGGCTCTTGGGACCAAAAGATGATCTGAAAGTTTGGTTAATGGAATTAATAACATTCATTTTTATGATAGAATGCAATGCTAAAATACACTGCCAGGTAATGATGACTTGTTTCACTGAACTTGGGGTACCTTAAGAGTGAGGTCCTACATCAAGGAACTAAATTAGGTTCTAACCTGTTTTTCCCCAAGGAAATCTGTGTAACGCTAGGCAGGTGGTCCTGCCCATTTCCATGATAATAGTAGACAAGTCACAAATGTGCATAAAATGTTTGCCACTTCCTTCCTTAATTACATACCCTGTTGAATGGATATAGGGTTAGTTCAGATTCCATCTTTACCAGGCCATCAAGTGAATTTCTGAGAGTGAGGTACTAGTAAGGTATCAGTAGGGTTTCTCCAGCCATTGCGTAACACAGCCATTGGGTCAAGTTGGGACATCTGGTTCTTTCCCCCTCTGCAGCATTTTTGTGGGGAGAATATGGAGTAAATGTAAGGAGATTCGGATGTTTAAGGAGCTGATACAAACCTTATATTTTTTATCATCTATAAGAGCCCTGGTGGGTCATGTGTCAGCAGTTCTAAACCACCACCACTTCACAGGATAAAGACCTACAGTAAAGCTTTAGCCCCATAAAGATTTAGTCCTGGAAACCACAGCTCTGTTCTGCTCTAGAGGGTCAGTATGAGTCAGAATGAACACGGTGGCAGTGAGGTTTGAGTACATTGACTTTCAAGGAAGAGAACATCACGTGTGAAATTAATTCTGTGGTTGTATGGTAAATTCACATGAACTGGGGGTCATGTATTTGAAAGAAGTTATCTTTTGGGAAGAGCTTGTTCTAAAATGATTTAAAATAGTTCCAATTTTATCCCTGTGCGCTGGGGATCATGCATATTAGCACGTTGTTTTGTTTCTCTTCTTCCTGATATCCTCCTCTATAGTCAATCTGCCATCAAATCCCGTGGGTCTTTTTCTTTTAAAATATCTCCCGCATCTTGCCCATAGCTACCTTCCCAGTGCAGTGAATCTTTCACACTTGGGCTGTGACAACAGTCTCCTAACCTGTCCACCTGTTCTCATGACACTCGTGTGTTCACCACTTCCAGAGTGAGCTTCCAACCATAAACAGTGGTCATTCCAACAAAGTATTTCTAGGATCAGGACTAGTAAATAGACCCTAAGTACCCATAGAATGATGCCATTCTGACTTCTTAGTCGGACTTGTTGACATGGTGTTATTTGGGCCCAACTTTCCCTTTTCACGTTCTCTCACTATCAGAAGTTTATTCCCCTCTCCCGATCTTTATGCCCCTCCTAGTGTCTTCCCCTGCACCTCGCCACTCTGGTTGTCTAGAGCATAAAATGAGACTAAATATGTGCAAGGTTCTTTCCAGTTCTGTAGTTACAAATCTGGGTGTATCATCCTCATTATATTTGTAGCTTCACTCTAAAGTTCCAACTGAAGTTCTACCTCTCTCTGAAGCCTTCCTTGCCTACCTTGCCTTCTGGTGCCCCCCGCCCCCATGATTAACCTTTAGTTATCTGCAGGTGGCGCTTGGCACAACTGCGCTGTGTTTTATCCTGTTTTATCATTTTTTTCTTCATCCCTTGACTCCTTATGCTCTAGCGCTATAGAGCAGACAATAACCAGTCCACCATTGTACCCACTAGAAGACGGAATGAAGTTGTGAATAAGTCACCTGGACATCTAAATGCTCAAGGCACCTTTAAAATCATTAACAAGTTCTAGTAGCCTTTCCATCCATGAGAAGAGACGGGGAAACTCAACTGATTTTAATTTGGGGGAGCCTCCAAAAAGTGACAAATGGAGGGTGGAGGGAAGGTGGGGGAGAAAAGGGGAACCAATCACAAGGGTCTACATATAACCCCCTCCCTGCGGGATGGGCAACAGAAAAGGAGGTGAAGGGAGATGTCGGACAGTGTAAGACATGACAAAACAATACTAATTTATAAATTATCAAGGGTTTGTGAGGGAGGAGTGGGGAGGGAGTGGAAAAAATGAGGAGCTGATATCAAGGGCTCAAGTAGAAAGCAAATGTTTTGAGAATGATGATGGCAACAAATGTACAAATGTGCTTGACACAATGGATGGATGTATAGATTGTGTTAAGTTGGAGCAGCCCCCAATAAAAAGATTTTTTTTAAAGTGACAAATGAAATGTTAAAATTTTTAGCCAAATTGCTTTATTTATTTATTTATTTATTTATTTTTTATTAAATCATTTTTTTAGGGGCTCATACAACTCTTATCACAACCAAATTAAGTTTTAATGTAATATGAAGCATTCTATCTATTTTAACTTTCAGTAAAACAGAGTTTCTGTCTCAGAAACCCACGGGAGCAGTTCTCTGCAGACCTACTGGGTCCCGATGCGTCAGAACTGACTCAGTGGCAGTAAGGTTGGTTTTGAGTTCTCTCTAGATGGTAGAAATGAGTTGCTTCTCTACCCTATCAAATTCCAAAATCACTGGGGAAGCAAGAGAATAAAGCCTTTAGATTCAGAC